TGCCAGTAACATCAGGATTACCAAAACAATCGAGAAAATCATTTTGTGTTTGAAAGAACTGGCCCAGTTCAATTGTGATAGTTTCGCATGCATCGAAGATTTTCTTATCTTTTACGCTATGTAGATATGTATAGATATATATATATAGAATAATAAAAGAAATTACTTTAAGATTTTCCAAATTTCGATCACTCTTCTTTTTTTGTTGCTCACCCCGCTAAATGTAAACCCAACATTATGGGCAAGTAGAAGAAGTGGTTTGAGGTTTTATTCATCACAACTGTGTTGTAAATGTCCATATTGAAAGTGTCGACACTCTTTTTACTAAGCAGCATATCCAATGATTGTCCAGATATGCATTTAAAAGTATTTTCATGAAATAATTCAATCAAATCGACATAACAATCCAAGTAACGGAAATGCTTTTTGAGTAATACGAAGATGCAGTTTTCGATCATTAGCGCGTCATTAATGGCATTTAGACCAACTTCGTCTAATTTATGCCAACACAACTTGCCACGACGTGCAATGCCATTGTCTACCATATCATCAGAGATTAGTAAAGCACAATGTTGCTGAGAGGCAATTGAAAATATAGAAAATAAAACTAATTTTTAGATATCAAACATGCCATTCTCACCAGTTCAACACACCAGCCAAGCAAATTCGCCAGTCTTAATTTTTCTGCGTTCAGTTTATGGCCTTTGGCTAAACTTTTGTATGTCAAAACAGAGATAAGGCCACATTTCCCATTCGTTGGCGACATATTATAATCTACAGCCTATAAAATGTTTTAGTCTAACTTCCCCTGTTTGGAAATTAAGTATTTGTATTACCTTTAATAGCCCATCTGCAGCGTATCTACTTTTGAATTTATCAGCTATCACGGTCAGGTCTTGCAAAACATCTAAAAAAGCAAGAGGTTATTGAATGTTTTTTGATTCAAATAAGTTCCTTAACCTTAAAAGCCCAATCTACTTGAAAGTTACGTAAAGCCCAAACGTATGTCTTAGAGGCGTAGGTGACTTTAAGGACAACCTGTGAGCTAAAATATACTTTGTTCTGCCCAATTTTTTTTTAAGAAATATTGAAGTTGTGATATAAGCTAATAACAAAACATAGTTTTATTAATAAAAACGACAATCACATTTATGTTAAACAAAAAAGTATAAAGGCACTTTTGTATTCAAATTAAAAAAATCCCGATTGACGTAGATTGGGCTTTTAGGGTTAAAGAAAAAACCAAGGCGAATTTATATAAGGTGACGGTACTAGATCAGCTGATTTTGTGTTTCGCCTCACGACTGCTAATTTCAAATTGTAAAATTTTGTTTGTTAACTAACAAAATACAAATGATAAATAAAAAGCTATCAACTTATACTAATTCGTCTTGGAAAAAACTTTATTTTTAAACTTGATTATGCGATCAGAAATTTATTTTCGAAATATTGATTACTGAGAATTAGAATCATCAAAATCTTTAGTAGGGGTACTGAAAATAAAAAATGTTCTTAAAAATATTTAGCATATACGGAGAAGATCCTGCTTTGGAGCCATTTCAGATTGATGATTATATTCAAAAGCTTCCGTTCGTTTGAAAAAAGAACATTCCATTTACATAAATATGTAAATATATATCAATTCATAGTTATGCCAGGTTTGAAATTGGTGTTAAAACCAACATAGAAATTAGGTTTGTTTCTTTTTAAATGGCAGATATTTTTTGTAATTTCAATGTCTGGTGGAAATTTGGCATTAAATTTATTAACATAAATGACCCTTGATTTTTGATATCAAATTGGTCCTTAGACTAAATTAAACATATTAATTAATTGTATGCCATACATACCTGGGTAAATGGCCATAAATTCACTTCTTTCATCTTTTGACATCTTTAAAGGCGTAGAAGGATTTTCCAATATTGATAAAGTACTAAAAAATAATATTTAAAATATGTTTCTCATTTGCATACGTTATATTGGATACATTAATTTAAGAAATATTTTCTTTTTTACTTATACATAAATTGAAGCCACTCTCCAAAAATATCTCAAGCAAGTTTAGGGATAAATACAGAAAAGGCTACACGAATTACCTTGAGTTGACAAACAAACTGTTGGTTGAAGAAAGGAAGCAAGGGCCCGGTACCCCGCTTTACGTATGTACGCAATGAAATTCTAGTCCTTATTTGAGATTTGTGTCCTGCTCTGATGCTGTGGTGTGGTGAACGGCATTCAGAAAATCTACTTACATTGAGCCTTAGGAAAGGATACAACGTCTGGCTGCCAACAGAGCGCTGAATAAAACCCCAACGGCTGATTTTGGAAAAGATACTGAATCTGCCTGCCCGATAAATGCCAGTAGACCCCGATTTGGAAAATATTGCAATAATAGTGAGCTGCACGGACTATAGAATTTAGCAAAAGAATCTGTGGATATACTATCTTAGTGAGCAATAGCGATGGGTGTAGTACACACTACATGGCTACATATCTCAATTGGACATAATCTAATATAAATAATTTTAATGCAATATTTCCTGCAAGAAACAATCTGTGGTGCTTATGTATATTTTTAAGGCAAAAGACGGAACAATTTTAAACAATTTTGAACCGAAACTTAGTGGTAATCATTTTCGAATAAAACACAAAAAGTAACGAAACTTCAAAAACGGTTCCGAAAAAAGCCTGGAAAAATTCAAAAGTTTAAACTATGTACTTGTAAAATGTTCGTAACCGGTAGATTCCTTGTTTCAGTTTTTGTTAATAGATTTTTTAAATTTTTCGGTGACAAAATGTTCGGCAAATGCTCGGTCTTATATGTATGTTTGAAAAAAAAAAATATCCCAAAAGCCTAACACCGCATGACTGATAAGAATTTCCAGAAATAGTAAAAAAAAAATTTAAATTAATATTTACTTACCGTTTTGATAGGCCCAGTTGAGTTTGACGTTCTTTCCGAGTACTCGTAATCAAATCCCCAGTATTATAATTGTTAGCTTCGAATA